TTATCCAGGAGGACAGTTACATTTCACGGAGGGGGAGTTCTATTTTTCTATGCAACAATTTGACAAGTACATTATTTTTCAGCACACTTTTATTACTCCGTGAAGGAGGTCAGGACCTCCGGACGGAGTGTTGTAATCGGCTGATTTTTCATGTTCGCAGTCAAAACACTGGGTTCTCTTTGTGTAATCGGCACGCAATTTTATACGCCGTCTGCGGGCATGCCCGTGTTGATGCACGAATGTGTATTTTTGCCGTTGCTACTTTCGCGGTCAATGTAATATCGCAGACGCACCCCTACAATTACGAGGCGAATTGGAATGGTCCACAAAAACGCGTTGTTTGGAATAGCAGTGGGGTTCAAAAAAGTTCATGCAGATACGGGGTGGTTTTTATAAGTGGTTCCAGATGTTTTTGCCCATGGTTAAGAGATGCCAAGTTTTTTGGAAGATGTTCGCAGCCAAAACGCATTCTTCCGTACGTCGCATTTCTGTGTAATTTCGCATGTGGTGTTGCATTATGTCCGGGATGATGCACGTTCTTTTTATTTTTACCGTAGCTGTTTTGATATTGGAGTAAATGGTTATTTTCGAAACATCCCCATGCCGTTGAAATGTTGTCGTCCGTTTATGTCACCGGTAGTAAGTCGGGGCGGGGCTGATGGGTACGGATATGTGGGGTGGTCAGAGGTCAACATTAGGAAAAATTTAATGTTAATACCGATGACGTAATCCTATCGATTTCAAACTGGTCGGGTGTGGCGACCTAGTGGCGGCGTGTATATTAGTCACGTAGCAACTAGCCGGTCGTCCTAGCAACGAGCGTGCTGGCCGCTTGACTGTACACATGGGCAATATTTTTGGGTTGGGCCGCTCCATAGTGTTAGTGGAGCAGCTCTTTGGAAAAATGGACAATATTTTTGAGCAACCCATCAATGTGTTTTGCCTCGTGGTCGGATGTGGTCTGGGGCTGGTAAACCACATATTAGTAGATCGGATAATTTAATGATTTGCTAGTTGTAAACGCGTCCTGTAGTATGAGCCGGTATAGGAAGACCTACCTGGCTGAAAGAATCTATTATCTACTATCTACTATAAGATGTAACCTGTGTTACACAATCATGCTTTCGGCCGGATTGATGTGCAACTGTTG